TCAAACCTAATCAACATTTTTTCTGGTAATTCTATACTTATTCCTACATTAGGGGTAGTTTGCGCTTCATTGGCTGGCATTTTGTCACTATCGTAAAAAAATCACTGAAGCACTGAGTCAACACAAACACAAAATTGTTCGAAGTGTAAAAATAGAAAATAGGAACGATTTGAAACGACTTACAAGAAGCAGAGGCTGAAAGCCTGAAGCATTGTCCAGATCAACGTGGTCTAAAAGACCCCTTGAAAAGCGGTCCCTAATAGAAGGATTTCTTCGAATCTACCAGGTTTTACACTTTTCCACTTTGACAAAACAGTACAACAGAATTCACCCTGGTGAAGTGACGGCAGTAGTTCACAACTTCCTTAAACCAATGGTGTTTTCTTCTGCAGTTGTTCGACTGTTCTCTTTTCTTCTATCCCAGCTCCTAACAACAATTTGTAATGGGATACTTAGAGGAACAAACCAACGAGACTTTTTCTTCGAGCTTTATTATTTACACTTTTCACTTACAACTAACTTATTCACTAATTGTTGTACTTAGATTAATTGAAGATAGATTTGGAATTAGAACTGACGATTTTTTGATTGATGACTGTTGACTGGCTTATTACTTATTACTTATGACTTATTAATTTATGACTGGTTAATTAACTGTTTTTGAATCTTAAATAGCATTTCCTTTCTACGTCATAGGTTAGAGATCATTTACAATTCCGAAGGGTAACCAAACACAATCAATATATTATTTACACTGAACGGAAACCGAAATGTTTGGACAAATACAATATTTATTATTCACATGAAATCTTAAATTTAATAACAATAGGAAATGTTGGCAATACTGAAATTAATATGTAAATATACAAACGTTTCCTCAACTGTAATTTGTAACATCCATGATAAGAGTTAATATTTCGTTTCGAGTAATTAAATGTGAAGTAACGTTATAATAATATAATAATTTTTATACAATATATAATAAAAGTAATTGAACATTACAAAACCATTCAACAATATCGTAGGAAACATTATAAAAGAGAAGCCACTAAAGTCTTATGTGCGGCAATAAATAAACTTAATTTGCAAAACGCTTTAACACATTGTAAGGAACTTGAAAATTTAAATCAATCCACACTTATATATTAACAAATGCAACGGATATAGGCAGGGAATAAAACAACATACACACAAAACACAACAAAAATACTAAACAGTCAATCTAGACCAAACTTTTTTCCAATCATATCAACCACAAGTTTTAAGACGACCATTCTTTTCCCAATCACAGAATCAAATAAGGTATTGTAATGTTCGTGAGTTTAACAAAATTAACTACGTATACTGATAACGACAAAAACTATTTATTTACTAATTATTGAAGAACTTAAAAACACTATTAAATTATTACTAAACTTAGGTTATGAATTATTCTATTTATTTACACTACTGTTGATATATCACTATTCACTGCGCTATTTATTTCACTGCTATCCCTGCCAATTTATTTCTCAACTCACTTCTACAACGGTCAATTTATTTCTCCTCTACCCGGCGATCGTCTCTTCCTTTAAATACTCTTTTGTTTACTTTCGGGAGCCTTCTCGAAACGTCCAGATCGTTTTGTTTTTCTTTGAACTGTTTAACTGCTTTCCCAGAACGCAGGTACGACACACACATTTACAAATACGACGCACATGAAGAAAGGCGCCCGCGGCTAGTCGGCGAATCGATAAGCCATACACGCACACGAGTGCCCAATCGCACACAAACACACTCGTGCTCACTACACTGTCCCCTCCTTAAGGATTTTTCGTCCCGAAACACCTTCACTTTCCGTTTCGCAGGATCATGCCGGAATCTGCAATCTCGCCTTCCCGACATCTGCTCCGGGAATAGAAGTAATAGTCCACTTTCTTCTCATGATTGGTCCGATTCGGGTTATTACTGCAAACCAAAATGTCCATTGAGGTACTTAGCCCTCCAGATTCTTGAAATTCAGAAGCCACTTTAAAGCTGCATGATCGGTGCGTAGGGTGAATTTTCGTCCATATAGGTATTTATAAAAATGTTCTACACCTTTGACTACAGCCAGTATCTCTGGCCTAGTGACACAGTAGTTACTTTCTTCTTTTGATAAGGTCTTGCTAAAACAGCCGATTACCTTCTCTACCATCTTGTAACTGCTCCCATTCCCACATTGCTCGCGTCGGTGTCCAAAATGAACATTCCGTTGGGCCGAGGATATATCAGTATGGGGGCTGTGATTAAAGTCTGCTTCAAAGTATCAAATGCCGTTTGACAATCCAAATCCCAATAATATTTGTGGTCACTTTCGATTAAACGTGTCAAAGGTTTGGCGATATTGGCGAATCCGTAAAATCACGGTAATACGTGCACAATCTTCTTATGTCGTGGACATTTTTATATAATGGAAACCTTTCTTTTTTAAGTCTAAACAAGTACAATATAAGACTGATGTTCGTACGGACGCAAGTTATGTGTAGCTGACATTTTATTTAAAATTATGTCTAAAAAAGTCGGGGCGCTCCATCCAATTGATAAGATACCCGCGTCATTCCATATTGTTATACAACAACAAATTTTGTATATTTAGAAATGTTACTGTTTTGTTATCTTGTTCTTTTTGTCACTTTGTTCTCGTTTGTATGTTTCACTCCTTGTGCCTTTTTGTTACTTGTGTTTTCGTTGTTATTGTTATAAATTGTTATTTGTCAATGTTAGTGTTTTCTTGGTATTTGATTAGTATTAGCACCAAAAGACACTAAAGTGGTGACCCCGACGTGTGCATATTTTCGTGTGAAAAAGTGCATTCGAGCTGAAACAAAAACAATCGCTCAGGTAAAACTTCTTTGTGTTTGTTATTTTGTGTGACAATGGCTAATCCAACCGCGGCTGAAGCTCACATGTTATGTGCGCTAGAAGCGATGCTTGGCCAAAAGAACAGTAGATTAACTTTACCACAATTCAACTACACAGACCCAGAACTATGGTTTTCGCAAGTGGAGTTAGATTTTGCAAGTGCCGGCATTACTTCCAATATAAAAAATTCGAGATAGTCGCCCAAAGTCTCGAATCGCGAGTGGCATCTGAAGTGCGCGATTTGGTAGCAACGCCAATGGACGATTCCTACGAGCTCCTAGAAACGGAGTTGATAAAAAGGCTCAGCGCATCCCAGGAAGAAAAAACAAAGAGATTCCTAGAAAATGAAGAGTTGGGTGACCGGAAACCATCCCAGCTAAAAGGGAATTCGACGCCATGCTGAAATTAGGGACTGTCAGACCATCCAACAGCTGCTGGTCCTCACCGTTACATATGGTCCCTAAGGAAGGCGACGAGTGGCGTCCCTGCGGCGACTACCGAGGGCTCAACGCACGGACCGTTCCAGATCGTTATCCAGTTCGTCACATTCACGATTTTTCCCAAACTCTGGCTGGAAAAACAATATTTTCAACAATTGATCTGGCCAAAGCATACCACCAGATCCCAGTCGCCGCAGAGGACATCTGTAAAACAGCGATAGCAACGTCGTTTGGGCTGTTTTAGTTTCCATTTATGTCGTTCAGTCTACGAAACGCGGCGCAGATATTCCAGCGCTTCATCGACGAAGTACTGCGTGACCTGGATTTCTGCTACGCGTATTTCGACGACATATTGGTAGCTTTAACAACACCCGAGGAACACCTTGCCCACCACGAAACCCTTTTCCGCCTTCCGCAGGAATACGAAATCGTCATCAATCCGGCAAAGTGCAAGTTCGGACGATCCGAGGTAAACTGCCTGGGATACCTCGTCATCAACGAAGGGACAGCACCACTTCCGGAAAGAACAGAGGCCATTATATCTCTCCCACGGCCAATTGCCGTTAAGGAACTCCGGCAGTTCTTGGGAATGATAAATTTCTATAGGAGATTCATCCCCAAGGCTGCAAGTCTCCAGGCACCCCTCAGTGAACTCCTGAAGGGCGACGTCAAAGGCAAGGTACCCCTGACATGGACACCGGAAGCAACTGTAGCGTTCGACGCGACCAAGAACGGCTTGGCAGCCGCTACGCTTCTCGCGCATGCGTTAGCCGATGCACCATTGGCGATTTTCTGCGACGCTTCAAATTCCGCAATTGGAGCGGTATTACAGCAGTACGTCGACGGTGCATGACAACCATTATCCTTCTTTTCCCGGAAGCTCAAATCGTCAGAAAAGAAATACGCCACCTACGACCGAGAACTGCTCGCCATATACTACGCGGTGAAACACTTTCGCCATATGGTAGAGGCTACGACTTTTACCATATACACCGACCATAAGCCCATCACTTACGCGTTCCAGAAGAAGTATGGGGTCTGCAGCCCACGTCAGTTCCGGTACCTGGACTTTATCGGCCAATTCTCGACGGACATTCGTCATCTTCCGGGAGAGGACGCCCTGTCGCGAATTGAAGAGGTAACCCTAGCCATCGACCTGGAAGAATTAGCCGCTGCACAACGTGCGGACAAAGAGCTAGCAGCGTTGGAGGAAAATACGAAGTCTAACCAGTAACTAGCCGCTGCACATCGTGCAGACAAAGAGCTAGCAGCGTTGGAGAAGAACAAAAACTCTAACCTGCAGCTCAAGCTTATCAGGATGCCAGGTACGAACACCTCACTGGTCTGCGACGTTTCGACCTCCACGGCGCGACCCTTCATTCCGCTCCAGTTTCGCCGAATGGTCTTCGAAAAAGTCCACGGTCTATCGCATCCTGGTGCCAAAGGATCCGTTAAGCTGGTAACCGCACACTACATCTGGCAATCGATCAAGAAGGACTGCCGCGAAATGGTCAAGAATTGCTTGGAGTGCTAGAAATCCAAAGTCACGCGACACGTTTCGACCACTTCAGGAACCTTCGTGCCACCTTCAACATAGTAGTAATGCCTTAGTGCGAAGGCTACCGCTACTTGTTGACGTGCGTTGACCGATTTTCTCGCTGGCTAGAGGCTATCCCAATGGGGGACCAGGAGGCAGCCACGGTTGCGCGCAATTTCCACCACCATTGGATAGCACGCTTTGGGACTTCGTTGCGCGTTACTACCGATCAGGGCAGGCAGTTCGAGTCGCACCTGTTCAAAGAATTGAACGCTTTGACAGGTACGACTCATCTAAGAACAACGGCCTATCATCCGGAAGCAAATGGGATGGTCGAAAGGTTCCACCGGCAGCTGAAGGCCGCAATCAAGTGCCACCATTCAGCAAAATGGATCGAAACCCTTCCGACGTTGATCCTAGAGATACGTTCGGCATGGAAGGAGGATCTACAATCCACTGCAGCAGAGATGGTGTACGGAGAACCGGGCGAATTTCTAGGAAAGGCGGAGCAGGAAGCTACCACAACGTCTGACTTCGTCCAGAAACTACGGCAATATGTACGACAACTACAACCCGTACACGGCACCAGGCATGGCGAGAGGACACCGTTCGTTTTCAAGCACCTCGCAACCGCAAGCCAGGTGTTTGTGCGCCATGACGAGCCAAAAGGACCACTCCAGCAGCCGTACGATGGTCCATTCAAGGTGGTATCACGAGCGGAAAAGGTGTTCGTGGTATGTGTTCGCGGACAAAACATCAAAATATTAATAAACCGCTTAAAACCTGCCGACCTGGACGATATCAATACCAACAACGAGAGAACTACCGAGGTCCAACTGATTCCGATAATTCCAGAGCATCAAGCCACGCAGGAACACCACCAATCACGGAACCACCAGTCGTGCAATCACCGCCACAAAGAACAACGCGATCAGGACGCCGCGTTTTCCTGATCGTATCAGTGGCAGGGGGGTACTGTGGCGGACAACTGTATATATTCTTTGTAAATATTTCTTAAGGATTGTTTTTCATTATTCCAAATTCATTTCATTTGAAATATTATTTCAATTCATTTCAATTTCTTATCTTGTACATACTTTGGTTTCCTTTCAATTTAAACTCTATTGCTCTCTCAATCGCTTTTACCTAGAATTCCAACTTCAACCATACCTGCATGCACTCCCACACTAATATCTGGTTTTACTCTTAATTGTTTTCTCTTGAACTCTATACTGCTTAATTCTACGTATTCCTACAAACTAGTCTTCACCCTCTCTCTCACTACTTTTTCTTCTAGAAATCTACTAACAACCCTGTCCTATAAATACTCTCAAAAATTCTTATCTTTACTTTTCATAGTCTACCAGCACTCGCGGTAGCAACATCACGCTCGATAGCAGTAAACATCGTTCACTAGCCAGTCCGTGCTAATAAACGACGCCAACGACTCTTCGAGACCACGCCCGTCTACTTCGTTTGAGCTCGCACGTACTTGTTACCTGCGAGCACTACACAGTGCCCAGCCGTTTCTAGGTAAGTTTAACGTTTTTAATTAATTTTAACTAACCAACAGTCTTGGGGACCGAGTACGCAACGTCCCCTTGAACTTCTACGTTCCCTTAACCCATTATACTAACAAATACCTTCGTATTCCCGTACAACCAAAGCCACGCCCACCGAAAAGCGTTTTTCGTTTTTATCGCCTGCCATTTCGGAAATGGCTCTCCCCAAGGGTCCTGCACTCTTGGAGGGTCTCTCCCTCGCCGACGCCATCGTCTTGTTCGGCGAGATGAAGGATAACCTAACCCTGTTAGGTAATTTCATCCGTCAGCATGCTGACAACGCCACGCCCACTCCCATGTCAGAAGACATCGCACCTAGCACCTCCGCTATTATCACCGCACCGTCCTCACAGACAGTTGCCTCGTCAAAGACAACTTCTGCTACCTCTGCCGACGGCTTTACTCAAGCCAGTAGCCGTCGAACAAAACGTCGAAGACGGACACCGTTCCTTTCTTCGTCTTCGTCATCGTCCACGGACGCTGAGTCCGAGCCTGACACTGCCGGCCAAGGCACCACAGCTCCTCCCCCAATATCCATCCGCCAAAAGTCCATTTGGCCCAAAATTCTCCGTGGCATGGAAAGCCATGATATCTCGGCCCGACGGGCAGTATACACCAGCGACTCCATCAGAGTTTATCCCAACTCTGTTGAGGACTTCCGCCGCCTTACCTCTCTCCTCGACGAATCAAACGTCGAGTTCTCAACTAACCAGCTCCGCCAGGACAGGGACCTTCACGTCGTCCTTCGCGGAGTCTGCGAGTCAATCTCCACGGACGATATACAGTCCGAACTAACCAACAAGGGCTTTGCTATCCGCGGCATACACCGCATGACCAACGGTGGAAAAGTATGGCCTCTAGTGTCCGTTCGGCTAGACAGGACGGACAAAAAGTCCAAGACAATCTTCGAGCTTGGCAAAATCTGCGGGCTCAATATCAAGTTTGAGCCCAAAAGAGTCAATAAAGACGTTTCCCAATGCCGTCGCTGCCAAAAGTTTTTCCACACGGCCAATTATTGCCGCGCAGCCTGGGTCTGTTCTTTCTGCGGCCGAAACCACGTCTCCGCTGAATGCAAGGCGAAAGACAGTAAAGACGCCACTCCTTCCTGCGCGAACTGCAAAGGCAGTCACCGCGCTACCTATCGCGGCTGCCCCAAGGTTCCGCGTAAAACCGACGCCCGAAAAAAGGCCACCACCATCCCAGCTGCTCCAAAGGTAGCCCAAACAACCGCCCGCTCACCCGTCACTCCCGCTAAGACATCTTCCCAAATGTCTTACGCAAGGGCCGTAAGAGCAGCCCCGCCACCCCCCACCCGCAAGCCCAACCCGACCCCAAGCACCGCTGCAACATCAGGTGCAACTCCGTCCCTTCAGGACAAAATTCAGGCCATCGTTCAGACAATGGTAGCCAGTTTAGTCGCCGTCCTCCAACCACCCACCAATGTCTAACACAACCGACACAAATAACCTTCGATTAGTTACCTGGAATGCCCATGGCATTAGAGGTAAAGTGACTGAACTCGAGCACTTCCTCGAGGAAAAGTCGATCGGTGTTGCATGCATCACCGAAACTTTTTTATCCCATAAACTCAAGCTTTTTGTCCCAAACTTCACAGCCTACAGAAAGGATCGTGAAAACTCCGGCGGCGGCGGCGTAGCCATCCTCGTTAGGAATTCTATCAAACACAAGCCCATCTCTTTGGCTACCGACTCTTTAGAAGCAGTTGGCATTGAAATCACTTCAACTACCGACCCTGTCAGAATCATCTCATTATACTCCCCCCCAGACGAAGAGGATCTTTCAAACCTCCCACTTCTACTGCCACCAAACGTCTCGACTATCGTCGCAGGTGATCTCAATGCCAAGCAAGTCTTATGGGGCTGCCGATACAGTAATAGAAAAGGCATTTCCCTTCTTGCCGACTCTCTTGACTTCGATTTCACAATCGAATCCCTACCAGATCCAACGCACTGCCCGGATCGTCACAACACGCTTCCAGATATTCTAGACGTTTTCCTCACAAGGAACGTTAACCTCTCCTCCGACCCTACAGTTCTTAATGATCTAAGCTCAGATCATCTTCCTGTTCAAATAGAAATCGGCCGCCCAACTTACAACCTCCCAAAGCTAACAACCTCGTTAGACTGGCTACATCTGCGCTACATCCTAGAGTCATCTTCGTTTAAGTGCTCTCAAATTCGCACAATTGAGGAACTCGATGAAGCGGTAAATCTCCTTTCAAACGAGATTACCAGCGCCGTCGAGCGCTCCACGACCTCCCGCCCAGCCACCACCCCAGTCAATGCTCTCCCCGCAGACATTGTTGACCTCCTTAAGAGGAAAAACAAAGCCCGACGTCTGTGGAATAGACACCGCGACCCAGCACAGCGTACAGTAGTAAACGCCCTCCAACGAGAACTAAGAACTCGTCTCACCGAATTCCGCAGCGCATCCTTCAACGACTATATCGCTCAGGCAGAAACTCATCCCTGAAGCACCTGGAAAGTGATCCGTTCCCTTCGTAACAGAGCTCCCCATCTTCCGCCACTAAAACAGAACGGATCGACTTACTCTTCAGACGAAGAAAAAGGTGCAATCTTCGCAGACTCTTTATGCCTCCAGTATTCTCCACTACCTAGTCCAGTGGACCTTGCCAACTTTCACGAGCGTACCAAAGTCATCTCCCAAAACCTCGTTCCCATAAATTCCGAATTCAAACACACTACACCCCGTGAGATTTTCCTTACCATTCGTTCTCTGAAAAAGAGAAAAGCACCTGGCGCTGACGGAATTCCCAACGGAGTCCTCAAAGTCCTGCCACCAAAGCACATCACCGGACTGTGCAACATCACAAACGCTATCATGCGGCTCCACCACTTCCCTTTGGTATGGAAAGAAGCCACTGTCATCTGTCTCCCCAAAAAAGCGAAGCCCCTCAGCTCTCCCTCAAGCTACAGGCCCATCAGCCTACTCAGTTCGTTGAGAAAAGTAGTTGAATCCATCCTTCTCAATCGGCTCTCAGACCACGTGGAGCAAAACAACCTTCTCCCCGACTTCCAACACGGTTTCCGCAGGCAACACGGCACCGGACACCAACTTCTTCGTATTACAGAACACATTTCCTATAACCTCAACAAGCGGCGTCACACTTCAATGCTACTTCTTGACGTCCACCAAGCCTTCGACCGAGTCTGGCACGAAGGCCTTATCTTTAAACTCATCGCCCTCAACATCCCACACTTTCTAGTCGGGATAATCAGGTCCTTTCTCACAGACAGAAGCCTTCGAGTCCGCATTGGCTCTGCTCTCTCTGTCAGTAAACCCGTCACAGCCGGTGTCCCACAAGGCTCCAAACTTTCTCCTATTCTGTTTAACCTCTTTTGCGCGGACATGCCCTCCCACACTTCCATTATGACTGCTCTGTACGCTGACGACATTGCCATCATAAACTCTTCCAGCACCATTCTCCAATGCACTGCGAGAATCAATAGGCTTCTGCCCCGGCTCCTAAACTGGTATCGGAAATGGAGACTCTCTATTAACGAGACCAAATCGGAAGCAATCTTCTTCTCTCGTACGCTCCGAAAACCTCCCTCCATCATCGTCAACAACCGCCCTATCAAATGGAGCAGCTCCGTCAAGTACTTAGGCGTCGTCTTCGACAGGTCCTTAAACTGGCGGCATCACATTACGGCGACCCGTAACAAGGCTATGGGTGCATTCATCGCACTCAAACCTTTCTTTCGAAATAGGACTATCTCCCAACAGACCAAAATCCGTGCGTTTAACGCAATCATTAGGAGCATTTGCTCCTATGCCATTCCCGTTTGGGGCTGTGCCCTTCCCCACCGCCTGAAACCCTTGCAAGGCACTTACATGCGGATTCTTCGCTCCGCATTAGACTACCCCTGGTTCGTTAGAAACACACAAATTCTGACCGAAACCGGTTTACCTTCTCTCCCTGAGGCTGCAATCACATTCTCGGGAAATCTCCGGGCCACAGTGTCAGGCCACGCCAACCCCACCATCTCGGCACTCTCCAACTTCACACCCAAACCCAACGACCGTTTCCGAAGGCCCTGTCACCTTCTACAATGAGCCGCTCCCTTTCGCTCACTTCTTGCTCCCTAGTATCGCTTTTTAGCGCGAGTGTCCATCCAGCACATCAGAGATGGACCACCTACTTCGGTTTCCTCCCCAACACTCCCTTCTGTCCACACTCTTAACCCATTTCCCTTCTCAACCCTATCCTTAATCCCCAGCTTTCCACTTTTCTCCCGGGGATGAAAAATCCACAGGGTTTATCTCCCCGCTCGAGGAGGGGTTTTAGTCGGTAAAAATCTGACACTACCTCCCTTCAAGATTTCCCCTCCTCGAGCATAATCTAAACA